CCACCACCACCACGACAATACCAACCGACTACCTCTGGATCAGCATGGGCAGATGAGAATGTTTATGGTGGTGCTTGCAATGAAGATTTTGGTTATGGATATGCTCCTCCACCACCGCCACGGACCAGCACCAGGGCATCAGCTCCATTGATGCCCACGGCTCAAGCTCAAGGCTATGTTTATGGGTATCCCGTATCCTACTGAGCTCTACAGGGACGATGTCTCACGTGGCTGTTGCACCATCCTTTGATATTTATGAATTTTCATGTTGTTTCATCTATTACAGAGTGAGAGTGTGTGAGCTATTTACTATTTGGAGTGAGGTTGGTTTGTTAATCAAAATCAATTCTACTTCTAAAAACTTGTTTTGATCCCTTTGATTAATTAAACCTCCAAGATTTATGTGTAAAGATGGTTACAACATTATATTATCACAATATCTTTCTTGAAATTAATTAATGGTTACAACATTAATTAATTTTACCTCCAAGATTTATTAGGTTGAAATTGGGTTTAGCCTAAAATAATCTGATTAAAGTTTCAGTGGTTTCTCAGAAATTATTTGTATTTCTTTTTAATATGTACAAGTCACCAAAATAGCTTTGGCAACAACCAACAATGAAACTCATAAGAGGACATTATTGGAAAATTACATGTAATACCTAAACATTTGATAAACTCGTTTATTCTTTTGAATGATTAATCATATTTTAAAGGAAGGTTTTATGTTCACAATGTTGATTTTACTTTATTTAAACACAATTCGGTCAACTGATCTGGTTGGGTTGCACTTTTGTTTAGGTTGGATTGTGTTGAAAATTTTCAAACCGCTAACATTGGGTTGGTTTGTTCAAATGTCTTCAACCGGATCAATCAAACTCAACCCAATTTATATGAATATAGATATATAAATATATAAAAGGTAAACTACAATTTTGGTCATTCGAGTAAAAGCAAAACACATAAGATACAAAAATGAAACCACATGGGTGATGTCTGATTGGTTTAAGCTTGGTCAAAGGTCAAAACTGTCGGGAGGCCTCAGATTCAAAATCAAGGAGGAATAAAAATTCCCTTATGGCCATGGATATTCAAATGCGGCGACTCCAGGCTACTTGCAAAAAAAGTGGTCGTCCTGAGATTAGTAGTCTCGTATAACGGGTTATATATCCAGGTCAATAAAAGAAATGATAAAAAGAGATAAATACCCCTTACTTAACATACATGTTTAATTGAGTTAGAGCATCTCCAACATCTATACTAAAATAGATAATGAGATTTTTGCAATTTTTATACTCTAACAACTATGCTATCTTATATGTTAAAGTAGAAAGAAAAAAAAAAGGTAAAAAAATTCCAAATATAGGCAGAGACAAACCTATAGTATTTAAGGTGCCGATTACCAAACGCTTACCCGGGTAAGCGCTTATCAAGTCACTTAAACTTATCGGATGAATAAGACAATGACTAAAAATCTTACCCGATAAGAGCGAAGACAAGAATCGAGAGTCTTACCCGGTAAATGAGGACGAATACTTTTACCATGGTTAGCGCTTACCGTGATAAATTGTTGCATTCGATTCATTTTAGTAATAAAATTTTATCTGATAAGTAAATGATAGTGTTGAATTTACCGGTAAGTGCTTACCAGGTAAGTGTTTAGGTAAACGGCCCCTAAATGTTTCTGACAAATATAGGCAGGGACGGACCTATAGTTGTGCATACGGTGGCACGTCGGGTAAATTAATTTAGGTTCGTGAAAAGTGCAACTGTATTTATCTGTTGTGTGCCACCATATTTATTATGAAACTATAATGAGAACAAGTTTTATTTGATAGAGTTGGTTTGCAAGGCTTTTATTTCACCTATACCCAAGTTCGAATCCTATTAATTTCATTTTTTTAGTCAAATGATATCATCGTTTGAAAAAAAGATTGTACATCTGTTTCTTACACTCAAATGGTGTCATAATTTGAAACTTTTTTCCTATATTGTTTTCTTATAGTCAAACGGTACTATCATTTGAAAAAAAATTGAGTCCGTCCTTGAATAAAGGACATAAAAAATTGAATGTTTTAGAGAGAGAAATAATATTTTATTATATGTATTAAATATTTTAATAATATAATTAATGCTAAAATTGTTAAGATAGAGTAACTATTAAGTTGTATGTAAAAAAAATTTAGAAATTTTAATTTTTTATTTAAAAAAAAGTTACAACATAATTAATGGAGATGTTATTAATTAGCATGGACCATTTACAAAGTAAAATATAAACGGTTGGAACGACAATTATAGTTATTAAAGTGTAATACCGACAAAATTTTACAAGCGCGTGTGATCACGTTCCTGATTTCGTGGGACGCAATGTGTGCTGGTTTCCGTGTATGATGACGCCATCCCCCATTCAACGGTCCGCTTAACTTCGCCGCCATTTCGACAAAATATTTGTAGTCATTTTTGCCAAAACTTGAAAAATGAAGGGGGTAAAGAAAAAAAAATAGAAGATGAAGTGAGTTCATCTATTTTTGCTTTACCCCTACAATTTTCAAGTGTTGTCACAAATGACATAGAGATTTGTAAAATAGCTAATGTAGTCCCTTGGCAATGTTCATTCCTATTAAATATGTTGATTGCAATATAAGTCAAGAGGAACGATTAAATGAAAACCACTATCATTTGTAGAAACCGTACAAACCATCATCATACATTACTTTTATTGTTTAATCTTATAAATTTTTTTCATAAAATTGTTTAAGCTTGTGAAATTGTTTCATATAAAACTTTTTTTTGATGAATCTGTTTCATATATGGTTATGAAATTGTTTCATATAATATTTAATGAAATTTACATGAAACTGTTTCATGTATTTTTCTTTAAAATTAAAATAATGAAGATGATAATATCCATGATTAACACCCTTCACAATAAAAATGGTTAATCAACCTCTTATAATTACAAAAAAAATGAACAAAATGAAAAATTATGATTGGTTGAATGAGGTTTGCACGATTTGTACAAATTGGGTGATTTTTATTTGAACGCTCCTCTATAAATCAAAACGTAGTACATTTAACATTCTACTTGTGATCTACATCAAAAATAAAAGCCCAATGGTCTCGAATCAAGCCCAAAATAAAACCCATCATCTCTAGTTCTCCATTGACGACTGACGAGTAAATTACAAATCTCATATGTGTGGTATTCTAAAAATTACAAATCAGTTCCTGCATTTCTTATGGATTCGAGACCTGTTGTTTAAATTTGGATACACATTGAGGCTCTAACATTAAGGGGTCGTTTACCAAATACTTATCCGATAAGTGTTTATCGGTATAAATCAACCCTATCACTTACTTACCGGGTAAGATTTTACTCCACCAAGACGGTATCGTATGTAACAATTTACCCGGTAAACGTTAACCATAATAAAAGTCGTCGTTCTTGCTTACCGGGTAAGACTCTTGGTCTTTGCCTCATTCTTACCCGGTAAGGTTCTTCGTCTATACTATATTCTTCGAGTATGGTTATTTAACTTAATAAGCTCTCACCTAAATAAACATTTAATAAACAACCCCTAACTCTATTAAATTTGCTTAGTTAAATTAGAGGTATTTTAATATTTTTAATCATTACTTGGAAAAACATTTTTGAACACCCAATTACTTAAATGCCACCAACCTCACCCTTCCCATTTCACTTATTCAGTCATTCCCACCCATTTGATAAGTTTTTTTGAAGAAGTTAAACCCTTCTGACTTATAATAATTTGATAAGTGATTTTATAGAAAAAAATAAGTTGTTTCAAATAAGCAATCCCAAACGCCCCCGTAATACATACATGGATCAGACTCATTGATGGTGTCTTACAACACATTTCCAAATAATGGTGATGAATTATCAACTTCTATAAATAATCAATTATATTTTAAAAAAATAACTTCAAAACAAAAGGGGTGTTACATGAGTCATGCGTGTTCACCTATCACTCAGCCATCATTGAATGTGTGTATTCGGTTGTCGTTGATTGGCATTCAGTTGTCGTTGGTACTGTCTTCAGCTATCGTTGAACGTCTTCGATGCTGAACTTAGGCCCATAGCTGAACACAAATCTTTAGCTATCGCTAAACTTGCATATTCTAGAACTTAGATTCGGTTGTAACCACCCCTCGATCTTATTTATTAACCGTTATAACCGTTAAACCGTCAATAATCGTCGCTCTCTCATTTGAATATGTAAAACGAGAATCTGGGTAGATATATCTCAATTTCACAGCCTTTGAAAGAGAGAATAACCTCAAGAATTCTCCCAATATGAAATTCGTGAACCCAAACACTACTAGAAAACTGGGTATTTCAACGGATTTTTTGGTGGACAAAATATGCCGGAAAATTGCCGGCGGATTACCGGCAGACAACAAAAAAGTCAACTTTCATTGACTTCCGCCGGAAATACGCCGGTAAAAATATTCTGACAATATTTTCGGCGGATTTTACAAATTATTTTTTTACAAAATTAATAACTCTAATTACAATAATATACCAGCAGATTTCAGGTGGATTTTTGATTAATTTTTTAAGATTAATGTCCGTCGGAAATCCGTCGGAAAATAATTAAAAATTAAATTTTTAAAAAAAAAATCTTCGATGGATACCGAAGGCCGCCGGTAATTTAAATTAATAAATTATTCAATTTTTTTTTAAAAAAGAACTTAATATTCCCGACGGATTTCTGGTGGATCACCGATGGATATTTTCCAGCGGAATTTTTCCGGCAGCTTTTGATTTTTTTCCTACTTTTCAAACTTTTGGTTTTATATACATGTAAAATATTACATATATTCTTAATGGACCGTATTGAGCTTTAATGGATTGTATTGAGCTTTACTGGATGTTAATTTTTAACTTGGCTCTAATAGACTGTATTGGGCTTTAGTAGATGTTAATTGGCTTTAACGGTTCTATTGGGCTTTAGTGGATGTTAATTGGACTTTAACGATTCTATTGGGCTTTAGTGGATGTTAGTTGGACTTTAACGATTCTATTGGGTTTTAGTGGATGTTAGTTGGACTTTAACGGTTCTATTGAGCTTTAGTGGATGTTAGTTAGACTTTAACGATTCTATTATGTTTTAATGGATCATATTGGAAATTTAAAGGATCGTATTAGGCTTTAATAGATGTTAGTTGAGTTTTAACGGTTATATTGGGCTTTAATGGATCGTATGAGCATTTAATGAATGTTAGTTTGGATTTAACGGTTCTATTGAGCTTTAATGGATCTATGAGACTTTAGTGGATGTTAGTTGGGCTTTAACGGTTTCCCCCCGCCACTGACATCAAGATATGGCTGTTTTGGCCAAACAGCTCAGTCAATCTCAACATTTCTTTCCGCCACCGAATTAAATATCGTCTGCTTAGTTGGAAC